ATCCCTGTGCGGGGTTGCTTCCACGCAGCATCCTTCTGGCCCAGAGTATGTGGTCCTGAACGCAGGAAGGGAGGAAGTTAGACCCCCCCAATCCATGCCTGAGTGATGGTGGCCAGAAGAAGAAAGACATCCCAGTAAGTGATGGGAGGTGGAGGGAGAGACAGAGACAGAGAAACAGAGAGACAGAGAGCCCAGTAAGTGATAGGGGAAAAAGAGAGGGAGAGAGGGAAAGAGAGAGAGAGAGAGAGAGAGTTGTAAGTGATAAGGGAAAGAGAATGAGAAAAAGTCCAGTAAGTGATAAGTAATAGGGGGAGAGAGAGAGAAAGGAAAGAAGGAAGGAAGAAAGAAAGAAAGAAAGAAAGAAAGAAAGAAAGAAAGAAAGAAAGAAAGAAAGAAAGAAAGAAAGAAAGAAAGAAAGAAAGAAAGAAAGAAAGGGGCAGGACCTCAGACATATTGGAAATTTTTATTGGGCCAAATCAACACCCACTTCCTAGTTTAAAACCTAGCCAATGACATATTCACTGTTACACACCTGGATTGACCTACATCAGCATTTTTTGGTTTTGGTTTTTGTCGGGCCTGAGGATTGAACTCAAGGCCTGGCCACTGTCCTTGAGCTCTTTTGCTCAAGGCTAGTGCTCTGCCACTTTAAGCCACAGTGCCACTTCCAGTTTTCTGGGGAATCATTGGAGATAAGTCTCTTGGGGCTGGAAGCTGGTGGTTCATGCCTGTAATCCTAGCTGCTCTGGAGGCTGAGATCTGAGAGTCGTGGCTCAAAACCAGCCCAGGCAGGAAATTCTGTGAGACTCTTATCTCCAATTAACCACCAGAAAACCAGAAGTGGCCCTGTGGCTCAAGTGGTAGAGCACTCACCCTGAGCTGAAGAGCACAGGAACAGCACCCAGGCCCAGAGTTCAAGCCCCACAACAGACAAAAAAAAAAAAAAAAGAAGAAGAAGAAAGTCTCATGGACTTTCCTGCCCAAGCTGGCTTCAAAACAGAATCCTCAGTCAGACCTCAGCTTCCTGGGTAGCTAAGATTACAGGTGTGAGACACTGGCACCCAGCACCACTTGCTTTGATACTACAAACCTCTACTCTGCACCATCACCTGTGGACCACCTTATCAAAACCCACTTGAGTTCCTCAAGAAACATGATTTGCAGCACAGCCTAGAGGCAGAGGTTAGCTTGGTCCCTTTATTGGGTCTTTTTTTTTTTTTTACATTTCTTTGTACCAGTACTGGGGCTCAAACTTAGGACCTGTGTGTTGCATTGTCCTGATCATTTTGTACTCAAGGCTAGCTCTCTACCACTTGAGCCACAACTCCACTTCCAATTTTCTACTGGTTCACGGGAGGTAAGAGTCCCACACCCACAGACTTTCCTGTCCCAATTGGCTTTGAACTGCACTCTTCAGATCTCAACCCTTCTGAGTAGCTGGGATTACAGGCGTGAGCCACCAGTACCTGACAATATTCTTGTATATTTTTGTCCAGTAGCTCTGTGAGAGAGAGCTGCAATGCAGAAGCGTAGAAGCAATTTTCTCTTTGCATCTTTATATTTAGTGAGAGATTGGTTCTAAGATACCCTGAGGATTCTAAAATACTCAAATTCTCAATCTTTTGGGTAAAAATTACATAGTGAAATTACACATATAACCAATGTACATGTTTTTGTAGATTGTACATCACCTCTAGATGACTGAGGACTAATGCATTGTGAATGCATGGGAAATAATTGTTATAGTATGTATATTATTTAAGGAATAATGCCAAGACAAAATGTCTATATGTCTATATATATCCAATACATATGCAGTTTTTGAATATTTTCTAGTTTGTTCACATATGTTCATTGTACATAGAGACCAGGGACTTTGCATAAGTTTAACACTCACTAACAAAATCCAGCCTCATTCCACCCATCCGTGAGTGTGTGTGTGTGTGTGTGTGTGTGTGTGTGTGTGTGTGTGTGTGTGTGTGTGTGTGTGTGTTGGTCCTGGAGCTTGAATTCAGGACCTGGGCACAGATCTTTTTGTGCTTAGGCTAGTGCTCTACTACTTGAGCCACAGCTCCACTTCTGGCAGTTCATTGGAGATAAATCTCATGGACTTTCCTACTGGGGCTGGCTTCAAACTACAAATCCTACAGATCCTACAGGATCTCAGCCTTCTGGGTAGCTGGGATTACGGGCATGAGCTGCAGGCACCTGGCTTTGCTAGTGATTTTATTTGTTATTTAACATTCAGATTTCAATCCTTGTCTTTCTGTCTGACTTATTTCAGATTCAACCTCTTTTTTTATCGTTTTTATCTACAGTTGGTTGAGTTTGTGGATGTATAAACCTGCAGAGATAGAGGGCTGACTATGTCCTCTTTCCTGACCTAAACTGGTGAAATGGTTCATGTTCTTGTCACCCCAACTGCTCTGAGGAATGCCTGGGAGGTCAGGAGAGCAGAGTTTCCAGGGGCAGTCACACCATGACACTCTGATCTAACGACTGGATTCATCCACTGATTAATTCAGTCAAGGGTGGTGGCTCACGCCTGTAATCTCTGTTTCTCAGGAGGCTGAGATCTGAGGATGACAGTCTGAAGCCAACCCAGGTAGGAAAGTCTCGTAAGACTTTTCTCTCCAATGAACCACCAAAAAGCCAAAAGTAGAGCCGTGGCTCAAGTGGTAGAGCACTAGCACTAGCCTTGAGTACAAAAAGCTCAAGGACAGTGCTCAGGTCCTGAGTTCAAGTTCCAGGACTGGCCCCCAAACCAAAAAAAACAACAACAACAAAAAAAGAAGTTATGCATTCTATGTTAATGATGGTAATGACAGTACTAAATTTCAGTCATGTATGCTTGATGGAGAAATGCCAGCCTATAGAATACGACTAGTCTTTGGCTGTTTTGTTCCAATTCTGATTTTTTAGTTGTTTTTTTTTTGTTTTGGTTTGTTTTGCCAGTCGTGGGGCTTGAACTTAGATCCTGGGCACTGTCCCTAAGCTTGTTTGCTCAAGGCTAGCACTCTACCGCTTGAGCCACAGTACCACTTCTGGCTTTTCCTGAGTATTTTATTGGAGATAAGAGTCACATGAATTTTCCTGCCCAGGCTCGCTTTGAACCGTGATCCTCAGAGCTCAGCCTCAAGAGTAGTTAGGATGACAGGTATGAGCCACCAGTGCCCACCTTTGCCTAGTCTAGCTCTTTTTTTAGTAGCACATATTATCTGCACACACTAATGACAGGTAGTGTGTTATTTCCACACATGTGCACATGAATCGATCCACCCAACCTTTTCTACCATCTCACTTCCACCCAACTTCCCCCTACCCCAGTAAACTTCTGAACAATCTTTCTGCGTGCAAGCTACCTCTTTAGTTTCCTCAGAGAGAGAGAGAAACAGAGAGACAGAGACAGAGAGAGAGAGAGAGAACATGCAATTCTTGTCTTCCCATAGACACAGACTCATTTCCCTTAACACAATGCCCTGGGGTCCCATATACTTTGCTGCTGATGACAGGATTCATTCTTTTCTTTTATATGGCTAAGTAATATTCCATTGTGTATAACCATTGCATATAAGCAACGTTCCTTTCCATTCATCTATTGACAGACACCTAGGCAGATTCTCAAACAAGGCTCCTGTGAATATTGCTACAATATATGTGGGTGTGCATGTATGCCTATTGCATGTGACGTGCTTTCTTTTGTTATAAACCACAGCATGGCTAGCTAGATCTAGAAGACACGTGTTTTTGTTTTGTTGAGATATCTTCCTATAGTCTTACATAGTGATTACATGAATAAACCTTCCTACCAATGGGTATGTAAGGGTTTCTTTTGCTTCACATCCTGGGCACCATTTATTGCTTGTGTCTTTTATAGCCATTCCAACTGGGGTAAGATGGTTTTCTCATTGTACTTCTTTGGGTAGCACTAGGAAGAGAACCCATGCCTATGTGTTGATGAGACAAGTGTTCTTCCACTTGAGCCATACCTGCAGGCCTTTTGTTTTTGTTGTTGTTGTGTTTTTCTGAGGTAGGGTCTCGCTGATAATTGCTCAGGCTGATCTTGGATTCATAACCTTCCTGCCTCTACTGCTTTAGGAGTCATTGTCAATTTGGTTTGCATTTCCCAGCTGGCCAATTGTCATTGGGTTTTTTTAATGTATTATTTATAGGTTGCTTAGGGTTTTATTTGTTTGTCTGTTTATTTTTGTCAGTCCTGGGGCTTGAACTCTGGGCCTGGGCACTGTCCCTGGACATTTTTGCTCAACTAGAGCTCTAACCACTTTGAGTCAGAGCACCACTTCCAATTTTCTGGTGGTTAATTGAAGATAAGAATTTCACAGGCTTTCCTGCCTGGGCTGGCTTCAAAGTTTGATTCTCAGATCTCAGCTAACGGAGTAGCTAGGATGACAGGCGTGAGACACCACCAGCACCCAGAAGAACCAAGCTTCTCATTCATATCATTAGTATTTACAACTCGATGACTTTTTTGTTTGTTTCTTGGTAATTTTTCAATCCATACATTAACTTCTTGGCTGGCTAATACTCCTTAGATATCACTTCCACCTGGATTCAGTTTTGTTAATTTGGAAGCACATCCTTCAACAGTTCTCTCCGCAAGAATGCATGCAAGATTCCCCTCTCTCAATCTTTATACAAAAGAAGATAAGGCAACAGCATAAAGACTATCAGCCAGGCACCAGTGGCTCATGCCTGTAATCCTGGCTACTCAGGAGGCTGAGATCTGAGGATCTTATTTCCAATAAACCACCAGAAAAGTGGAAGTGGCGCTATGTCTCAAAATGGTAGAGCACTAGCTTTGAGCCTAGAGTTCCGGGACAGAGCCCAGGCCCTGAGTTCAAGTCCCACAACCAACAGAAAAAGAAAAAGAAAAGAAAAAACTGTCAGGGTCATAGATAAGAAGTGAGAATCGTTTTTAAAATTATCTCCATGGTGCTTAGGTAACATCTCCTGTTCATGTTTCCAGGGGAATGGCACTCATGGAACCCCAGAACCGAACCAGTGCCTCTGAGTTCCTCCTCCTGGGACTTTCAGAAAAGCCAGAACACGACACTCTCCTCTTCTCCCTGTTCCTGTGCATGTATTTGATCACAGTGGTGGGCAATTTATTAATCATCCTGGCCATCTCCTCGGACCACCGCCTTCACACGCCCATGTACTTTCTCCTGGCCAACCTCTCCCTGGTGGACCTCTGCCTGGCCACGGACACCATCCCCCAAATGCTGGTAAACATCCAGACCAAGAACAAAGCCATCTCCTATCCCTGCTGCCTCACCCAGATGTATTTTTTCCATTTCTTCGGCATCATGGATAGTGTCTTAATCTCCGTGATGGCTTACGACCGCTTTGTGGCTATTTGTCACCCTCTGCACTACACCACGATCATGAGCCCACGCCTCTGTGGATGGCTGGTGGGGGGCCCATGGGTGTTCTCCTGTTTTGTGTCCCTCACCCACATCCTCCTGATGGCCCGGCTGGTGTTCTGCGGCCACAACGAACTGCCACACTATTTCTGCGACCTCACCCCTCTCCTCCGCCTCTCCTGCACCCGCACTACAGTGAACAAGATCTTCGTGCTCCTTGTCGCCGGCCTGGTGATCGCCACACCATTTGTCTGCATCCTGGCCTCTTACACGCACATCATTGTGGCCATCCTGAAGGTCCCCTCAGCCGGCGGCAGGAAGAAGGCCTTCTCCACCTGCAGCTCCCACCTCTCGGTGGTCACCCTCTTTTATGGGACCACCATTGGGGTGTACCTGTGTCCTTCGTCCGTCCGCACGGCTGTGAAGGAGAAAGCTTCTGCGGTGATGTACACAGCCGTCACTCCCATGCTGAACCCCTTTATCTACAGCCTGAGGAACAGAGACCTGAAGGGGTCCCTGAAGAAACTCGTCAATAGGAAAATCACATCCTCTTCCTGATGATTGGGGTGGGGCGGGGGCGGGAGGAAGACCTCTCCTGGTGGGGACAAGCAGGAGTTTTTCAGGGGGTCAAATGGAAAACTCTGGGGTCCTAGAGTAAAGTCTGGAACTGTATGGGTAGAGAGACAAACTCCTTTGAAATTTGAATGGAAGAAGCACTGAAGGAAATGTGCTCTGTGTGTGTGTGTGTGTGTGTGCACGCGTGCGCGCGCACACACGCGCGCACCAGTCCTGGAGCTTGAACTTAGGACCTGAGCACTGCCCTTGAAGTTTTTCATTCAACACTAGTGCTCTATCTAGCACTTGAACCACAGTTCCAGTTTCAACCTTTTTTTTTTTTTTGGTGGGAGTGGTTCCCTGTAGATGAGTCTCCCAGACTTTCCTACCCAGACTGGCTTTGAACTCTAGTCCTCAGGTCTCAGCCTCCCAAAGAGCTAGGATTGCAGTTGTGAGCCACCAGCACCAGAGAATTGAACACTTTTTGATGGCATTGTTAATTATTGCCCCCAATACGAGACCCAGCAAGGAGCCTTCCCAGGGTATGTCACACTGGCTTGCAGGAGTGTAAGTCTGGATTTCCTTAGTTCAGAGTCCACTTAGAACTGAACAAGTAGCCTTGCCTTGCTTATCACCTAGGTGTCCTAAGAAACGCAACCCTGAGGTGACTTTTATCCTAGGGTGGGGAAGGTGGGGGGAAGTGTGGAGTGTATTTACACACATACAGATGGTGTAGGTCAGCCACCAGAAAAAAACATTTGATATGAAATCAACTCACTGCAAGAGGGAAAGGAAAAGAAACAGAAAGCCAGAGAGAGAGACACACACACACAGAGACAGACAGACACAGACAGACTTAGCCACAGCAGGACAGACAGAGCAAACTGAGAAAGTCAGAGAGACAGAGTCAGAGAGACATAGCCATAGAGAGAAAGACAGAAAAATTCTGAGAGTCAGAGATAGAGCTTGAGAGACATAGCCATTGAGAGACAGAGAGAGACGCAGAGAGAGTCAAAGAGAAAGAGAGAGAGACCTAGCCATAGAGAAACAGAGAGCAACTAAGACAGAAAAGCAAAGAGATATACACAGAGACAGAGAAAGTCAGAGATACAGTCAGAGAGAGATCTATCTATAGAGCGACTGTGACTAAGAGAGAAAGTCAGAGAGACGGAGAGACACACAAAGAGACAGAGAGTCAGAGAGACTCTCTATGGAGAACTGGGCCACCTTCAGAGTCCTGGGATGGAGTTGGAAGGAGACAATTTTCAAAGCTGAACTTTGGTACTTAACTACTTTAGGCATATAGACAAGGCTGGTGCTCTAGTGGGTGCAGTTCTGAACACAGACACACGGTGGCAGCAGAAACACATCACTGGCCCCACTTCAAGGTCTTTGGATGAAAAGTTGTGTTTTCCACACAAGGTATTGTGGGATGTGTGTGTGTGTGTGTGTGTCTGTGTGTCTGTGTCTGTGTCTGTGTCTGTGTCTGTGTTTGTATGTATGTCTGTGTCTTTCTGTGTATGTATGTCTGTGTCTGTGTATGTATGTCTGTGTCTGTGTGTGTATGTGTATGTGTGTCTGTGTCTGTGTGTCTGTGTATGTATGTCTGTGTCTTTGTGTCTGTGTGTCTGTGTGTCTGTGTGTGTGTCTGTGTGTGTGTATGTGTGTGTATGTCTGTGTCTGTATGTATTTCTGTGTCTGTGTATGTATGTCTGTGCCTGTGTGTGTGTATGTATGTATGTGTCTGTGTCTGTGTCTGTGCGTGTATGTGTGTTTGTGTCTGTGTCTGTGTCTGTGTATGTATGTCTGTGTCTGTGTGTCTGTGTGTCTGTGTGTCTGTGTGTGTGTGTCTGTGTGTGTGTGTCTGTGTGTGTGTGTCTGTGTGTGTGTGGTCCTAGGGCTTGAACTTAGAATCTGGGAGTTGTCCCTGAGCTTATTCTGCTCAAGGCTGGTGCTCTATCACCTGAGCCACAACTCTACTTTTTGACTGTTTTTTGTTGTATTTTTTTGTTGTTTTATTTTGGTTTTTGCTGGTTCATTGGAAATAAGATTCTCATGGATTTTTTCTCCTTGCCCAGGCTGCTTCAAACCAGAATCCTCAGACTGACCTAAATCAATTGTACATGTGTAAATACACTCCACCTCCACACTGCTCTCCCAAGGACAAAAGTCACCTCAGGTGACTTAGGACACCTAGATGATAAGCAAGGCAAAGCTACTTGTTCAGTTCTAAGTGGACTCTGAACTAAGGAAATCCAGACTTACACTCCTGGAAACCAGTGTGACATACCCTGGGAAGGCTCCTTGCTGGGTCTAGTATTGGGGGCAATAGTTAACAATGCCATCAAAAAGTGTTCAATTTTCTGGTGCCAGTGGCTCACACCTGTAATCCTAGCCAATCAGAAGGCTGAGATCTGAGGATCATGGTTTACAGCCAGCCTGGGCAGGAAAGTCTTTGAGACTCTTATCTCCAATGAACCACCAAAACAGCTAGAAACAGAGTAGTGACTCAGGTGGTAGAGCACTAGCCTTGAGAAAAAAAGAAAAATAAAAGCATAAGGACAGTGAGCTCAGGCCCTGAGTTCAAGCCCCAGGACAGAGAGACAGACACCTGTCTGATCTGTCATTTTAAAAAATAGCAATATATGTGCAATGTACACTTTTCACCATTTAGAAATAACAGAAATGACATAAACATTGTGTGGTTAATGTGAGTCATCCTCTACTTCTTCCTAAACCAGATTCCCACCACTCAAGAGGCTAAGATCTGAGGATCATGGTTCAAAGCCAGCCCAGGCAGGAAAGTCCATGAGACTCTTTATCTCCAATTAACCACCAGAAAACCAGAAGTGGCGCCGTGGCTCAATTGGTAGAGCACTCGCCTTGAGCTGAAGCGCTCAGGGACGCACCCAGGCCCAGAGTTCAAGCCCCATGACTGGCAAAAACAGAAAACAAAAAAATCAAAGCCAGCTCAGGCAGGAAAGTAAGTCTGTGAGACTCATGTCTAATGAACCAACAAAAAAAGCCTGAAGTACAGCTGTGGCTCAAGTGGTAGAGTGCCAGCCTTGAGTGAAAAAGCTCAGTTCAAGCCTTCAAGTCTGTCCTAAGTTCAAGGACAGACAGACACATATGCCATACACACATATACAAAAGAGTGACCAGTTTTCTTTTGAAACTAAACCAAGAGACCAGGAGTCACTCCCAGAGATGATTAAAATTTGCTAGTCTTCATGAGGAGAATGAAAGCAAAGGATGCTGGGAAAGCAGGGATGAGTCATCTGTTCCAGTCAGTCAGAGGGTTTGGGGGGGGGGGTTGAAGCAGAGGCTGACTTGATCCTAGGGTAACAACCAGGTGTTTGAGCCTCAGGAAAGAGGACCATCTCCACTTTCCAACACAAAACTTGCTGCTGTGCAGGACAGGAAGTCCCACCCTCTTTCTTCCAATCTCTTCCAAAATGAGGGTAATGAAATCAGCCTAATTATCATGCATACATAGAAGCTGAAAACTCATTTCTTTCTTTTTTTCTTTTTTCCTTTTCTATTTGGTCATAGAGCTTGAACCCAGGTCCTGGGCGCTGTTTCTGAGCTCTTTTTGTTCAAGGCTAGTGCTCTACCACTTTGAGCCACACTTGCAGTTTTTTGGTAATTAATTGGAAATAAGAGTCTCACTTTCCTGCCAAGCTGGCCTCAACCTATGATCCTCAGATTTCAGCCTCTTCAGTAGCTAGGATGACAGGCATGAGCCACCAGTACCCAGCAAAAATTCATTTCTAAGAAGAGAAAGGTATAGCAATTTTTTTATTTTATTATTATTATTAACTCTGTGTGTGTGTGTACACGCGCACACACGCGCGCGTGCGTGCATGCACGCATTCTTTTTTGGTACTGGGGATCAAACCTAAGACATTGCACTTGCTAGACAAGTGTTTTGCCAATGAGCAACATCCCAACCATTATTATTATTATTTTAAATACCAGTCCTGAGGCTCAAACTCGGGGCCTGGGTGCTGTCCCTGAGCCCACTTTTTTTTTTATTTGCTGGTCATGGGGTTTGAACTCTGGGCCTGGGCGCTGTCCCTCAGCTTTTCAGCTCAAGGCAAGCGCTCTACCACTTGGACCACAGCACCACTTCCAGTTTTCTGGTGGTTAATTAGAGATAAGAGTCTCACGGACTTTCCTGCTCAGGCTGGCTTTAAACTGTGATCCTCAGCTCTCAACCTCCTGAGTAGCTAGGGTTACAGGCATGAGCCACCAGTGCCCAGCTCTGAGCTCACTTTTGATCAAAATTAATGTTCTGCCACACTGATCCATGCCTCCATATCCAGCTTTTTGGTGGTTCACTGGAGATCAGAGTCTCACAGACTTTCCTGCCTGTGTTGGCTTCAAACTGTGACCCTCACATCTCAGCCTCCTGAGTAGCTGGGATGACAGGCGTGAGCTGCCAGTGTCCAGTAAAATCCAACTTTTTTGTTTCTGCAAATGCATGAGAGCAGGTCACAGTTGCCTTCCTGGGCCTTGGCTAAAGGGACCTCAAAGATACCACCAGCCAGGGTATTAACTTGGGGCTTCCATGAGGGTGGTATTTGGAGAGAGACAAACCACACCCTGGGAATGCATTTCCCTTCCCCTGGTGTGTCCTCCAGACCAGTTGAGCACAGGTGTTTGCACCAGAGAGAAACAGGGCAGCTATGGCCACCACCTCCTCTTCCCATAGACAAAGGAAGGGCAGCATGGGGACAAAGGGACAGCTCAGTTACAAATGCCAGTACTTGGCAGGGATTCCTGCATTCCTCAGGGAGGGGGAGGGGCCAAAACCTGATCACCCCAGGACTGGGGACCCTAGAGACACCCCCCCAATCTCTGCTGGCTTGGCTGGTCTCATCTCTCCAGCCATGGCTTGTGACAGAGCTCTGCCTAGCATGTCTGAGGCTCGGAGTTCATCACAAACATGCATGTGTGTCTGTCTGTCTGTCTGTCCATCTGTCTGTCTGTCCTAAGGCTTG